CTCTCTCTCTCTCTCTCTCTCTCTCTCTCTCTCTCTCTCTCTCTCTCACACACACACACACACAAATAAATAAATGTAATTTGTTTAAAAAGAAAGCTCTCATAACAACCAAAGAGTCCATGGACAGAAACATGGACAGAAAGGCTAAAGACGCGCACAAGTGACCTGGACAGAAGCATGGACAGATGTCACATCTAACATCTGGTGTGAGAAAAGAAGCTGAAAACACAGACCTGGTGCCGAGAGAGCCGACAGATAAGGACACCCAGCTATCCCTTACAGGAACGGCCTTGAATGTTCCTTCCCTGCTTTTGGGGCAGATATGCAAACACATAGTTTTAACTTTCACCTGGAAAAGTGCCTGGAGGGAGCTGACTGTTGGAAAACTCAACTCAGGCATTGTTTAAAATTTAAGGTTCTCAGTCTTTCTGGGATTTTAAGGCGCTGTAATGTAAACACACACCAGAGCTGCCCTGTAACACCAGAGCTGGAGTCTGTGGAAGGGAGCAACTGTTGAAGCATCTGGGGATGTCAGGCAGGCAACTCTAGACGACTGACGGTACAGACAGACCCTGGAAGGTAACCCAGAAGACTGATGAACTTCACAGTCTGAAACTCAGCTACCAGCCATGGACCAGGGCTGGTTTTTAAATGGGACAAACATGCCACAAGAATGTCGGATGTGAGCTGTGAGCGTCTGTCTGGAGCAGTAGCCGAAGGGAAGCGCGATAGCGCCACTTCTCTGTATCTTTCAGACTAGTCTGAAAGAGTGTGTATGCGGCTGGGTTTTGTTTGTTTCTTTTCTTTTCTTTTTTTTTCTTTCTTTTTTTTTTTTTTAAATATGGCAAGTTCCTCCCAAACTGAGCAACAGGAAAGGCCTGGAGAAGGGAGAAGAGTCAGAATGAGCGGGCACTTGGTTTAAGTCAAATGTTTGCTGGTCTTGTGCGATTCAAATTTACTTTAAAGTACCTTACACAAAGAACTACTGCCAGCTGAACTCCCAGGCATGAAGAGAAGTTTTTAAGTTTTTTCTCCAAAATGGCAGAGTCTCCAAGGGCACCCACTACACTTAAAGGACCAAAAATCTGGTTCGACCCTACCCAGTTAGCGGGACTGGTGGGCCTCAGTTTTTTCTTTGGTGGATATGTCGTGGATCATGGGACCATCATCCGTGAGCGGGAATCCCTCAGGACCAGGGTGTCCCTAGCCGGGCCTCAGCATTCCCACCCGGGACTGAGCCACTATAAGTCCAGAGGTAAGTGTGCACCAGACACCACGGAGGCTGCGGGGTGGGTAATAGCTGCTCTGTCCTGGTTGCATACCTCCAACCCTCAGCTTCACCTGGTGTCTCTTCTCCACCCTGACGCACACGCGTCCCGGGGACACTCACCGTGCGCGCCGGCGGCTCAGCAGCAGCAGCAACAGCAGTAGCGCGGCCAGGAGGCCGAGCAGAGCGGCCCAGGACATGGCTCGAGGGTGTGCGGCTACGGAGTGGCAACAGGTCACCGCCACCAACACTGGACCACAGGAGCCCCAGTCCAGCCAGCCCCGAAGGCTCCCACTCTAAGGGCCCGGCTGGAAAACGTGGGATGGAGAGGGAGGAGCGGGAAGGGAGGGGTTGCCAGGGCTGCAGCGAGGGGAGGAGAGGGGATTGGGGAGGCGGGCTCCCGGTGGTGATGGGAGGGGGCAAAGAGGAGGAGACTGAACCAGAGCGACCAGGGGAGCCTTTCAACACATTCCTGCAAACCACACTTCCCAGACCATCCCCCACCCCCCTGACCTGTATTTCCGTTCCTATAGTGTGAGCTGTGGAACTGTCCACCTCACCGGGAACTAGGGC